GGGGAAGCTGGTGGCCATGTTGTCTCCGAGGCAGGAAGAGGCAGCAGACAGCATTAGCATGAACGAGTCACCCTTTATTTAATCGTATTTTCCGATTTTTATTTCGGTTGGACAGAACGCAAGCTCTTCTCTTGCTCTCGCACAAGCGGCGGGCCGCGGCGCCGTGGGTTCCTCTGCGGGAGAACAGACTGTGCTGGCTGCAGCCAGGTGGGGTTGGGGCTTCCCTCAGTGCACAGCCTCACGGCACCGCTGTGACCTGACCCAGCATCCCCTCCCCGAGCAACGACATCTTTATTATTTCTGAAGGAAAAAACACATTTAATCTTTCCCCCAATCCATCTGTATGATGTTGAGGACAGCACAGCTTGGGCTGCAGGTAGGCCCCGGGACCAGAGCAGCCTGCCCAGTGCACACGCTCGGCAGGGTCTGGGTTGTATCAGTACCATGAGCCATCACCATCATCCCTCCTTCCCCCGCATTTTGAAAGCTGCACCAAACCAACAGTTAGGCGTACAATACACAGCACAGGACAACTGAGAGTAGGGGTTTCTGCAATACAGCACTACAGAGCAAACGTTTCATTTTAAGTTCACAAACCAATTTACTATCAGATGCCAAATACCGTAGGGCCAGACTGCAGATGCTGAGAGACTTCTGACGCTCTCGGTGTACCGCTGGACTGTTAAACCCTCCACCACACTCCCACAACGCCTCCAGAATCTATCTATGCCTTCATTAATATTCTGTGTATAAGCGAGATACTTGAAATATCCTTAACAAGGTCTTTTTTTTTTCCTGAAGTTTAGTTCTACTGTAACAAACTACATTCTACATTACTCAACCAAAAAAAAGTGGGATTTATTGAATTTTGAATTCTGCGAGACTGACCTGCAGTAAACGTAAGAGTTTGAACTGTCAACAAATTTGACTTAACTTCTTTACAGATTATGTAAAATTACCTGTATTGTGAAACTAGACTGTGCACCGTTTCTGGGTACACTGTGGATTAGAAAAACCTGCAAGAGGCTTGAAAGCAGTTACATTAAAACAATGAAATTCAGCTAACTTCTTAAAAAAAACAGCCCTGAGAACATGGCTCAACTAGAAAGAGCCCAGTTGAAAAACCACCATTATAAGCAAAAATTAGAAGGATCTGTTGAAATCTTAAAGTATTATTTGTCAACATTTGAGGCAGGGAAACACTGTAGTCTTTCCAATTCTGTAAAGCAGTAAGAGAAACTCAATGAACTGGAGCCATTAAACAAATGCATTATCTGGAGTGGAAATACTTTTCTTCACCGAGTTTTCACAGCCTTTACTCTGAGCAATTGCATCAGCTATTACAAGTTTATACTTTTCGGTTTTGACATAATTTAAATGTTAAGACAGTACTACAGAACAAGTACATTGGTAAGATTTGTTTTAAAGTAAAGCTATGAAAGAAGAATTTCCCTAAGCATTTGGTTAGGAATCTGAAAAATACACATCTATATGGACTATTGATCGCAAACAAACTTTGTTGCAAACAATTCTGACAGTTAACTGAAACATTTTACTTTGGAAAAAATGCCTCAAATACATGTTCTAATTTAGAAGCAACTTTTAACTTTACTGAAACTTAGAGATTATGCTTAAGACTCATGCTCATGTATTACCTATGGGAAACTTCATGCATGATGAGCCAATGCTCTGCACTTCCATAGTGTTGGAAGTGCTTCACAAACGACAACTAAGTATAGAAGAACAAATCTATAATGAACTACGTAATTGTTTACATCTTGCAGAACTGAAGGTTGCAATAGGACATCCATATGTCCCAAGGAGGGTCCTTCCAGCATGCTGGAGATCACAAAATCTGTATCTTTAGATTGCTGTAGTACCTGAAAACTCCAGTCAGACCAGGAACCCACTTGCAGGAACAGGACAAAAACCAGCCCTTGTCCCAGAGAGCTTACAGTCTAAGTAAATGCTGAGATTGTGGGCCAGTGGCATGAAATAACTGTCTTCCAACAAGGTTTTAGAGGACAAGCACCTGACCATAGACTAAAGCACTACCAGAACAAGGACGAAGCCAAGTCTTGTAGATTTCAAGCACATTAGAAGTATTCGTAATGCAGTGATAGCATTAGAGCTTGCATTAGTTGGACATAGCAACCTATGACTTCCCCTTTGACATCACACAGCTCAGCTTGCTGTCAAGACCATTATCAATGGTTTCAGTCACCTCCAAAGCCAACAAAGCCTTTCAGGTACCACTTTGATGGAGAGACAGAAAGAAGCATAGTGCAGACTACCTTGAACTATTCAGCATGCACTTCAAAACTATTCTGAATGCATTGCATTTCAGTCTCCTGCATCTACAGCTTTTTTTTTAAAGCGGTTTTGCCATTTTAGTCAAGGTGCTTTTTATAGAGTTCACCTGCAATGTGTATTGTGCTAGGCAAGAGCATGTGGCAGTATCCTGCTTCTGCCAGGTGTCCCAGGTAACTGTGCTTTATTACCAGAGTATGTTTATTGCTGTCTTTACCTCCACTGTACTGCTCTCCCTGTCATGAGAATTCTATGGAAAATGCATGTTTTTGCCATCTAGATTAGACCTCCAAGATTTGCTAAGCCCTGCCACAGGATGTACATGGGCAGTTCAGGACAGCTGCCAGGAGCCCTTTGGGAAGTATAGAGCACATACTATTAAGCTGAAAACATTGTAAGCAGTTAACAGCAGCGTGAAGTCTGACTCTCGCTGTCAACAGAGTGTGAATTGTGTGTGCCTGTCCAAGGAAGCACGCCATGTGTTTACAAGTTGTCCTCCACTAGCCACCAGCCACCGAAGCTTAAGGCAAATTCATGAAACAATTTCTCAACTGTGAAGAGAGGTCTGAACCACAGACTAAGGAAGTTTCCCACTCATGATGAGTCACCAAATCTTAGAAGTTGAACACCTTGAACAGGAGCAGGCTAGTTATCCTTCCATAACTATTGCTGTGAAGCTTTGTGTTTGCCTGTTAAGCTACTAAATAGTTAGAGGCATGCATGCGTGTTTCAATGACTCAGAACTCCCTCGGATAGGAGCTAGCTTTCATAACTATGTAGCAGTTATTTACTTTTCTAGATAAGCCATGGTTGTTCAGTATTGTCTGTCAAGTCTACATTTTGAAAATACAATATTTAAAAAAAAAAATAATCACATGCATTTAGTTTAGGCTCAATGCTACAGTTTGTCCCACTTTTTGAAAAACATGTGGACTCTGTGCTACAAAAATATGGTCTGAACCTGAAGATTAAAACCTAAAGCTGGAAGCACTGCAACAGATTCCCATGGAGTTTGTCACCCTTTTATAGTTTAAGTTAAATACAATAAAGGAAAGCAATTGAACTGCATTTTTCTAGTTTATTTTTCAAGTCTGACAAAGGCCTCGAGTGAAAGTCTATAGCTTTAACATCCATTCTCACCTTTGTGTCCCCTTGACCTATCTATACCTTATCTACCCAATAAACCACAGGTAGGCTTTGACACCATTTTATCGTTACAATAAGCCAACAAGTTGGCAAAGAAGAATACAGAGGTAATACAGTTAAGTTGCACATGGCCACTGGGGCTTGGTCAAGCCAGCTGGCATTTTTGATCACTTGAGTTTCTTGGTCTAAAAGTTGCGATTGGCACCTACAGTTCTGCAAGAGTCCCAATCCACAAAATACTTAAGCTTTTAAAAAAAAAAAAATGCTACTTTTATTGTCAGTTCTACCTAAACATGTCAAGAAAAATATTATTTGTGCTCTAGGTCACTTTATAATCCTAGATACCTACCAGCTTATCTAAAAGCCCCTGAATACTGTATTTTGTCTGTTCATACAGACAAACACTGTTTTGCTCAAGCAAATAAAAATATATCCACTAGTAACACCTGATTGGTTTCTTAGATCCATAGATGAAACCCACAGGAATGTTAAAATAGTTACAATTAAGGAATTAAAATCTCAGTGATTTTGAAAACTGCCAGTTAGCCTGCAACACTAATCCAGAATCCAGCACTGCTTTTTTAACAATTCAAAAAAGAAATGAGGTTGCTTGTGAAGGCCAGAGCTTTGGTGACAATAAGAACCAAATTTATAGATCTGTGGTTTGTCCAGACCTGAGCAGCTGCCCGAGGCTGGTGATCCTCTTTATTTGCAAGGCTTTATGGCTACAGCACATTCTTCATTCATTGCACTTATGACGGATATCTGGAACAAAAGACAGACAGGTGAGCTCCAGCCCATGCCAGAGGAAGCTCCTAGAAGTTACAGAGTCTCCCATTTTAATATCTATCACATCGCTCTTGAGAGGAAGAAAGGAAGCTGAAGCTGGCAAAATTCAGTCATTAGAAGACTTTCCACAGTAATCTGCCTTTCCCACCACTTTGCTCTCCTGCTGCCTGCTCTTTGCCATATCACCTTGGCTGGCAGTTTGAGGTTCATACAACAGAGGCAGATGAACAAACTCCCACAACAGAGACAAACTAGGAGCTGGTGTGGCCCAGTACAGTCTTCACAGCTACTCGCAGACAGGTTTGCTAATATAGCGAAGTAGACTATTCAGACTGTATCACAAACTATATGCTTGGTCCTGATTAAGAAAGCCCCAAGGCTCCAATCCACACTGTGTGAACAGCACTGTTAGCATTTATCTAGGCATTTGAGAGATACTCATATCACTTCACTGTCAGCAGCTGAGCTGCGCCTCAGTGCCATATTGAGTGTTCCAGTAGAAAAATTTTTTCTGCATCTGAAAGGACCAATTCCCATGCTTCTAACCCGCTCTTCACAGAGAGATACAAGTGGTCAATATCAGAATCAGACTTCTTCATTATATAATCAAGTGGAATTAATCATAACCCTTCTTGTCTGCTTTCTATACTTACCTGCACATCTTCGTTGGCATTGAATTTTCCTTCTATTTCTTTGCCCAGATCCCCTTCTGGCAACTTTAGATCCTCACGAACTTCACCACTTTCTGTCAGCAGGGAGAGATACCCATCCTGAATACCTATCAGCTGTGAAAAGAAGTTCATTTTTAGGAAGTTTAACATCAGTAGTCACTAGTAGGCAGTAGCTGAAGATAAGCAGAAGGCACAGTAAAGTCTACCCATTACATGAATTCTTTAGTACTGTGTTTGTAACAGTTAAGAACCTAATTTAAGTAAATTTTTAACAACAGTTGAGAGGACATCCTTGTGATTTAGAAGATGTACTTCTTCCAGGTCACTGGTTCAGCTTTTAACATCTGTGAATTAGAAACAATAACTGGAATGGTGTTCACTGAACAGAACTACTTTTATAAAGTGCACAAAGCTGAACTGTACTCCTCCATATCTTCATTTGTATAATAAGATACTATCATTTACATTAAAGGCTAATGAATAAATTGGGGAACATCTGCCAAGCTCTTGACTACTTATATAATGCTGTTTTCAACTTAACCGAAATCCTGAGCTAAAGGGAACAGCTATTTTAACAGACCAGGTTAGGGAACCTGGAATACTTAACAGTAAACCCCAAAAGACAGCCCTAACAAGTCTGATAAACAGCAAGAATTTCAGTAGCAATAAGGATCCAAGAACACAAGAGAAAGATCACCAGGATAACATTAAGCATCTCTTGGAAGGTCTGAGCCCTAAGACAGGCTAGTCACACTTTATTTAAATAGCCTCAGCTGTCCTGGAATTGCTAACACTGTGAACTTTGGCTTTCTCAAGCAACTGCAGCTTTCCAACTGACGTGGACCTATCAGTTCCTGATGAGGACTATTCCCACACCAATGAGAAGGTAGCTGACATATTACAACTCAGATCCTGAACTGTGCTGCTTTTAAGAGCTCACTATCCATATCACAGAAGGCATTACAGTAGTTACAGACAGAAGCCTGCCAAGTTCAGAGCAGAGCTCAGGATCACTAAAGTTACTTGAGACCAACTAAAGCCAACTTCCAGACGAGGAGCAGAAAGCACTGCAGCAAGTTAGAACTGGCATGAGATGCAGCTTAGGGCTGTCTTGTTGATTCATCCACTCTATGTAAGGGTGAAATTATAAATGACAATATATGCTTAGATTCAAATTTACTTGAAGCGAGATCTTGATCATCCTTTAACTAATAATAACTTGCAGCAGGCATAATCTGTCTCCAAATTCTAAACGATGCCAGTACCACAAAGAATAAAGAAATTACCTTACAATATGAGCTAGAGAAAAAAAGCTGTTCTGAATTATATCCATTACCCACCATTTCTAAAGATTGCTACTATAACATGAGGTTGTTAGTACAGTAAGGAGCTCTCCATCAATGAGCTTTGACAGTTTTAACAATTCAGTAAATGCTCCAAGTTCAACCATGTCATGTCTAGACAGACAAGTTCCATTAATTCTGACAACACTGAGAGGCGAGTTTTGGGACGAAGAGAGTTTATATGGTATTATGAGTATAAAGCCTCTTAACATGTGGGAGCACACAGTGACTGTTAACTTACCTGGTAGTCATTCCTCTTGATATTTGGAACATCCATGTTATGAGTTGATGGGCAGATATCTTCATATTTTTTACCAGTGAAAATATCAATACCAACCAAGTGGACCTATGAGAAAAGGGAAAGAAGATCAGTTACTGCTGGTCCTCGAGAAGCAAGATGACATTGCCATCAGTCCTGCTGGTTCCCCACAGTTTTCCGAGAGAGCAGTGTAATACCAGATTCTTCCTAGACCCTTGGCTGCGGTATGAAGGCAGTCCAAGCACTGAGGGAAGGCCTCTTATACCCTTTCACAGCACACTACAGAAACACTACATGAGAACAAAGATCAGCCACTGTTATCTTCCATAACCTTCTGTAGTTTTACAGCAGAGTATGTGGTGGTTAAGAAAACGTTAATACTTTAAGTTCTAGCTGTTGAGAAACAGAACAGCGTTGGTGACAATGTGAAGGTTAAGGAGAAACAAAGAGGTGGTCATGCACAGAGATTAAAGCAGTTCCCACCTCCCTTTATGCTAGCAGCAGCTGTCCACTGCAGCCAGCACTTGTGTTACCAGTTTACAGACTGCTCTTCTCAGGTCCTTTCACTCTCACAACTGTTCCAGTATTTAAGAAAACGGGATCCATCTAATAAAACAAGCCATAAAAAAGCAAGGGGAGGGAGAAAAAAAAAACCTGGCAAGGGCATGGTATACTCTAGCTTTGACAAATCCTAAATACTTTACCCACCTACATGTATCATACAAGGTTGAGGAAACTTAAAACTCTTATTGGTCCATGTTTGCAACAGATCTGTCTCTAATTTACCCACCATAAAGTATTGCTGAATGAAGGGGCAATCTAGCCTTGGTCCAGACTCTGGACAGCTGCATAAGCCAACTGCTTAGACAGCAGGACTGCGGCCCCAGACACCAGCCTAAGAATATCCCTGCTGGGACACAGGAGGGGGAAGGTACTCCTCACTCAGGGCTGAAAAAAGGAAAGAAGCCAGCAAAATAGGGCCAGAGCAGGCCCACAGAGGTAATGATTGTCGGCTGAGCTCTTCTGGATTACGTAACAGAACACGAGCACTTTCAGTAAGCACTTAAGTTGAGCACTGCAATAGTGAAAGCTTGCTAGCACGGGCAGACACAAAAATGCTTTGGTGGGTAGCGACAGCACAATCCAACCACGCCCTAGTGACTTCATCAGCCCCCCCTTCCAGAACTTACTCTACCCCCACTACAGAAACACGCTTTATCACTATCAATGTTAGAGCTTTTTACCAAGTTGGGAGAAAAAAACCAGCCCAACCCCGTCCTCAACCCTTCCTGCTTTACATTACTGGAAACCCTTGAGCTAACTTTAGAGTGAAGAGACACGCAAGACGCTGCTGTGAAAAAAGCAACGGCAGGATACGGCACGCTCTGCCAAATGAAACGCTACACCCTTCCCCGGGCCAGCCACGCAGCGCGACAGCAATGCTGCTCAAAGGGCCGGGAGCCGCAGGAGCGCACACTGCGGGCCCTGCAACAACTCAGGGCTTGCAGAGCCCGCCCGGGGTGCGCGCGCCTTGGGGTTGCCGTGCTTGCCCGTCTTGGAGGTGGACATCTCCACGATCTTGCAGGGGCGCCCCTTGAGCACCACGAAGCCGTTCTTCCGCAGCGCCGAGCACTGCATGGGGTAGGTGGAGGAGGCGCCGGCATCGCCCG